GAGATTAAACTGACCTTTTTAGTAGCCTAATGTTGAGAGTTCTTTACTCGCTTTCTGTTCAGAGCTTATTTCATGTTGTTTTTTTATTATTTTATTTTACAAGAGAACTTGCGAAGTCTTGATTTACTACTAATGCGTAAAATAGAAAAAATTTATAAACGCATCTCCGACTGTTTTGACTGTTTATGTCGTTTAGGCCTATGTCGTGCAATAACGGTTTTAATATATTCAATTCAATAACAATGTTAACCGTTTTCATTTATAACATCTGCTGCTTTGCTTCTGTGAAAATGAATAGAGACATCAGCCTTAAACTTTGTTTATGTCATTTACATCAGTTATATTTGTATAAAATACACTATACATTTTTGTGTCAGTACATTAATGACACATTTGAGCAGCATTAGTAAATGTGTAAATATAAAGAAATGTCAAATCATATGCAGGTTTTTTCAGACCGGAGACCATAATCGTATAATAATTTATTTTATGATATGAAACATCCAATTTTTCTTTCAATAATGTTTTTTTTTTTAAAGTTTTGCAAGAATTTTCGTGATACTAAACTTTTTATTAGTTGTCATAGCAAGTGATTTTAAAAGTAGGATGGCTCACTTTTTATAGGATGACTGAAAATTTTACTTGAATTCGTAGTTTAATCTTACTTTTGGAAACCTAACTGTTGTATAATTATTATTACTATTATTATTATTTCTGTTGTTTCTAGAAGTAGTAATTTTGATAATAGTCAATAGAAAAAATAAAACCATAAAATATTTGGTAAAAAATAAAACCAAAAAATATTTTTTGTCCAGAGAATAATTACACATTATTAAATAAAAAGCATCCCCGCACGAACCTCTACCTCCGCCAGCAGGACCTCAATTTCAGACTCGGTAAAGTTTTTTTTCCCCTTTGTGCTCGTCATTCTCAAGCATAGAAATTCGGATATTGGCGACATTTTATAATTTTATAAACATTTTATAAATGAGGCCCCTGAAAACCATCTGGATTTGTATTGTTTTAGTATTTATGTTTTAAGACATTAATGCGATATTTGCATTTGGTCACATTCATTATAAATAAATGATTTCTAATACAGTAATATGTTCACACTTGTGTTTTTTCAGATTGGCTGTTGTTCAGATCGTGGCTGTTGCCTGGAACTCTTACCTCTCCTGGAAAGCCAATAAGATGTAATGAGATGTCCCAGATTGACCACTACCTCACACACGGGAACATGTTTGTTTGTAGTTTTTTAACAGTTAATCTTTATCAAATAAATGTAGTAACCTACTCACACATAGGCACAAAGCTTACAGTTTTCTCAACACAGGTCAAATTTGACAGTAACGTAATTCAGACCTCTGACATTTTATTAACCTTTGAAATTAACACTTGAATTTTTTGTGCAATATAGATTCTGTAAAGAATGTATATTAATTCAATACATTTGATTTAATCAAATTTTTTACCAATGTTTAGATGGTGAATTCTGGTTTGTCAATAACTAAGAACAGCAGGCCTGTTTGTTACAGGATGTGACTCCATTTTGAGTCTTTTTTTTTTTTGTGTGTGTCTTCTGTGGTCACAGTGATTAAGTTCAGGAACATGTGATTGACAGACATGTGAAGTTATGGATGTTACGTCTTCTATTAGGGCATTGCATTGATTAACACAATACAATGCTGTGTATAAAATACATCTTTCACAGAAGCCAGAACATTAATTTCCTTTATTTCTAATTTCTAACTACTTTATAACTCAAAGTGCTGAAAAATCATGACAAATTCAAAGGACATAAAAAAAAAATCTAAAATAATGCATCACATTAAAACACCACATAACACATCAACACCCTAAATTAAAAGTCAAAGAATACAAATAGGTTTTTAACCAAGCTTCAAAACTAGATTTACTAGACTAATTTCAGATGGCAAGCCAATTCATAACTTAGACCCTACATTCTTCATGAAAGCGTCACTTACCAGAATCTCTTGGAAATATTTTGTGTGTAAAGCCCTTGACAAAGACAGTAAATCTGTCAAATATGTCCTTTTTTCAATTTCTGTGTCTGAATCTTGTTAACCCATTATTCTCTCATCCTTATGTCATGTACTTTATCACATTTGTGGACTTGGTGTAGATCGTCTATATTTCAAAGGAAACAGCTGACATTGAAAAAAAAAAAAAGAGTTTTTTTTCTAGCACAACGTTGAACCAATAGACCCTGTTCTTTGCTGCCCTTGCCAATAGGATGTGGGGCGGCTGTTCCTCAGCTTGACTGCAATTCACAGCTTCAGCCTGCAGATCAGCTCTTTGAGTGGACAAAGCTGTCACTGGATAACTAATGTATCTGTCATCCCTCCAAAAACAACAAATCACACCTACTGCTATTAAGAAATATACTGGCTCTCTGTATTTTTGTCTCTTCACACTGATCAGGAATGTAAAGTTCCATGTTTAGGATTTTCCTTTGAGAGCGTGTCAGGCTTATATAAATATCTCCGCATGTCAAGCTAACGCTTTGTCACTCTGGGGAATTGATGGCTAGCCAGAAACAATAGTCAACAGTGACTAAACCTCTGCATCTGGCTGATGAATACATTTTTCTCAGCCACTCTTTAAAACATGTTATATTTTACAGTCGGAAAGCATTTTAATTCATGACTACACGGTGTATTTTTACAAATAATATTAATGTCAGTATTATTAGGCCCCAAGTCACAGGGCTTTCTAAGGATTATTAATATTATAATTTTTTTAATTATAAAGGTTTTTGGGGCCCTTAACATGCTCAAAAACTCTTGAAACTTCTGCAGTTTGTTCGTCGTATGAGGCCGATCACATAGATGTGACTATTAAGAGTCAAAGTTATAGCGCACCAACTGGCAGCGGGAAGTATCATTTTCAAAATGCTTTCAAAATCAGCCTCTTATTTTTACTCGATTATCTTCAAACGTAAGCAGAATAATTTCAAAACACTGCAGATGTAAAACTGCAAAGGGATTCTTGATATCTTAAATACTGATGCCATGGCAACGTGTCTAACTTAAATATTCTTTTCAGGTGTTTTTAAGGCACTTAACATGCTTAGAATTTCATGAAACTGGATACACAAATCAGTATTAAAGGTGACATATAATGAAAATCTGACTTTTCCAGGTTTTAAGTGCTACACTCTAAAAAAAATGCTGGGTTGTTTCAACCCAACTTTGGGTCAAATATGGACTAACCCAACTTTTGGGTTAAAAATTGAATATAAAAATGTAACCCAACGGTTGGGTTAGTCCATATTTGACCCAAAGTTGGGTTGAAACAACCCAGCATTTTTTTTAGAGTGTAGCACTTAAAACCTGGAAAAGTCAGATTTTCATTATAT